ACTGTTCCGTCTGTTCGGTGTACACGCTATATACTAATATAGGTACTATACACTAACAGTGATCATAATACTCAGTCGGTAGTTGTTTACATCCTAACATTCTATTTTTGAAACGTAATTTTATTATATTGTTACTGTGGGTAATGGAAATGACAAATGATTTTTTTTCAATAAATACATATGAACATATTAACATATAAATATTTAGGGCGGCAAAAAACTTCAGAGACAACACTACTGCATGCTTTTACAAGCCTAACTCGAATGGTTTTTAAGGTCTTAATATTATATTTTAAGTATCTACTTGTATTGCATTCATGATATATTGTTTTTGGGGTATATTACGAATATTATGAATTCTAATATTCTAGTATTATGCTATGACAATTAATTTGTTTAACGTTTACGAATTACGGCAATCATCGAATTGCTCGCGGTCATCAACAATTATCGGTTGATATTTCAATTGTATAACTTTCCAGCTTACTCCATATATAATATGTGCATATAAATTTATAATTACCACGAAATATATAGCTTAGACTCGTTAGAAGGGTAATATATATATATATATTATGCAAATTATTTGAAACGTATTTTACACATCGATAGGGTCACTCATATTATTTACGGTTTCCCAAGCCGACACATTGTGTGTTCAATATTATAATAGATGCCAGCCTCATACTATGATCGTTTAATATTTTTCATAATTAATACTTTGTCAAATAATTACATACTTTTACAAAAATTAATCTGCTTTCGACTTTTTGAACATCAAGACTTCAGGATTTTCTAATCACCTGCAGTAACTTCTAACACTAACTATAGGTAACAGCTGTGGCAGTGTGACACAATATGAAATAGGTACCTTTATACATTCAAAACATTTAGCTGCAAACTAATTTTATGTGGCATCAATACGAGGATCGTATAATAGGACAGGACGTTTGTTGACGATGCTCACATTGCATAAGTAAATAACTTAGAGGTCAGGGAAAAAATTATCAGACACGAATCATCTCCTCCTACGCTCTGTTCCAATATTAACGTGTTTGAGTTCTTGTCACGAAATGTTGTAGGTATGTTCTATCTCTCGCTTTGTAGGTAAATTGTTAAGAACCACGGCATATAACTGTATTTTACCTACCAGCTCTTACGTATTATATTATTATGTGTAAAATACCAAACGGGCATATATTATAAAGACAGTGCAATGTCAATGTGTATTACTTTAATTACCTACCATAACCAAAAGTGTCACTAAACTGAGCCCCCAAAATGTATATGCACTTTACATGAATAGCCTGAAAGAATGTGCTAGATTATTAATGGCATCTACCGAACGATTGAAGTACAAGCAAGACAATGAAAAATATTATCGCGCAAGACACGACGTCGGTCTCGAAATTTTTATTTGTCACTGGGTTTTTCCTAAAATTTAGGAATTAAAATGATTAAGTCGACTTATACGTTGGTTACAACGTATAATGTTATCGTTTTTTGTAGATTTGGATTAACATATTTATAACAATGAAACGTCTAAACTCAAAGAAGATTCTGATAAGCAATACCAGTGTTACTACTTATATACTATAGGTATACCTAAATTTCATTTTGATATATTAATTCATGATTTTTATTAAAGCTATGTTATAACTTATACCAATGTCCAAATATATATTATCAGAGTAAGGCGTAATTGTAATATAATATTTACAAGCATGTAATCAAAGCACTGTTTACCCTTAAAATAAATATATCCAATATTATGATATACTTTAAAATTAGAATAAACTCCGTTAATCGAAGACATAACAGTTAACAAATAAACTATAATACACTCCTTCACCTAAAAAATTACAATAACTAGTTACTTGGTTAATCACAGTCATAGCAAAAATAATTACTAGCTATTGCACATCAACACTCTATTTTGCAATCCAATACATCAATCATAGCATATACATTTCTCCGTATAAAATAGTTAGGATGTAGATCTCTTACATATACATAAGTGTAAGACATAATTAAAAAGCAGATCAATTAGCCATACACCACTATTTGACCTCACTATCTATCAATCCAATCAGATTACTTACACTTTCGATAGCACCTTCTAAAAAATATCAATAGACGATACTAATCTGCAAAACTTATAAAAAAAAGCTTTATAACACACAATCAATAGAAGCCGTTTTTTACACTCATCGCCCAGTAACTAACTTATACGGTCGCAGTTTGCAGAACACGAATTGTTTAAACCATAAACATAATATCTAATCTTTGAACAAATTCCCCGAACAGTTCATTAAACTAATGTCATATTGTTTATTTATTTGTACACTGTTAATAACTAAATAGGTACAGTGGCACGGTGTATCGTCTTTTTGAAACATACTCGAATTTTCGTAATTTTAGGAAAAAAAATTACATGTATTATCATATTTGTATAATTGATCTAAAATTATTTAGGTAATGAAATTAACGGGTATTTTATAAATTAAATTCAGTAGAAGTTGCAATATCAAAATGTGTTGAGTATTTAATATTTATACATATTTTAGTTATCTGTTGTAAACCTTAAAGAATAATAATTATTTTAAAAGGCTTAACAATAAATTCATCAGCAGTTAATGTGACATATAAAATAAAATAATTTATTACCTTAATTAATAAATACAATTGTAATTTGTTTTTAGTTTTTACAATATTATTCCATAAATTACTTTTTTAAAATAAAGATATAAATAATGGATTATACCGTTGGAATATCGTTTCATTTTAGTATTTTTTTTATTTTGTTTGGTAAATGTGTATAGCACTTTGCAACATTAAAATTATTTATAACTTTTGAATTTAATTATAACTTGCGTTCACGTGTCACATATTACACAATATATACTCTGATACTCGTACGCTGTATAAATGTATAATATTATATACATACAGGGTTGGGGAGTTTTTTATATACACGAACACACACACACACACACACGACACACCCGTGCTATATCATACAAGTATCTTCAAACACAATATTATAATAATATATTAAAATGTATTCGTCATAAGTGTATTATTATTTTTTTTGTGGGCGAAATAATGATTAAAGAGTTAAAACGATAGTCGTCGTAATTTCGTCAAGACAACATTTGCAGTATTTTTAAATTTATTTATATTTCCATTAAACGGACCTCGTAATCGTCAAAGAAACCTTGTACCATTTTTGCGGGTTTACACTAAAATATTATTATGTCCAGCTCTCCTCGTCTCCGCTGACCACCGTGTAAGGTCTTTTGATGTGCATCACTTCAGTGTGTCACACACACACACACACACACACACACACACACACACACACACACACAAACTATAAAACTACACTTTATACAGTGTGTATATAGTATAGAATACTCCTAATGAACTTAGTTTTTTTGAGTACCTATATTTGTTTTGCTTAACATTTTTAATATAATATAAAATTTTTATTTTTTTGTAATGCTACGAGGTATATATAATACATTTACATTTTAAATTGTAATACAGGGAATGAGGGGACCACTATGCACTTGTTGACTGTCTACAACACATCACATACGACCACGAGATGCCGGCACAGAAAATTTTAGTTTAATAGTTTCAATTCTGTGTTGTTAGTTTTGATAATAGGGTAAATTTACCTATTTTCAAACTTTTAGGTAAGAACATTATCTTTGTGATATTTTTTGATATTTTCATTTACAAGCAAGATGTGGGTATGTGAAATATCATGCATTAATAATGCTCATATCTCCCTTGAATATTAAAATATCGAATAAAAGCCGATGACAATCGATAAATAATGTTCTTAACAGTTAGTTTGATAGTATTTAAACTCACTCTAATATCAAAACTAACAATACACCATTAAAATTTAAAACTAATGACCGACGATTTGAATTGGCATTTGGGAAGATCATTAGGTACCTAAAGGCTAAGACCCTTAAACCCAACTAACTTCAACATAAACTGCAGTGAAACAATTATACAGTGGTTATCTGTATAATATGTATATTTTGTCATCAATAAAAATGTAAAATGTTGATTAAATTTATTATAGCTATTGATGTATTGATTCGACGCACTAGCACTATTTTATTTTGTCTCAAAATTTCAGTTCAGCAGAACAACATAATATAGATTGCGTTGATAACTTTAATATTAGAGTGAATCTTGAATAGCTGAATATCTAGTATCTACCTATTCCTAAACTTAGAGTTAAGAATATAGATAATTCACTTTTGTACATTGGCAATTTTAATTTGTATGCAAGTAATGACGAATAGAGGACAATCTATATTATTACAATTTAAAATGGTCATTAAATTGCATACAAATACAAATATTGTAAAACAGACCACCGACAACAATGAAATTCCTTATTCGGTAACGCGGTACCTAACTGAATTACGTTGCAATTAAATTAACTCAATTTTATTGTAACAAAATATTACTTATTAAAAGTGATTATTATAGAGTAACGCATTTTCTCTCACGTTTTTAAAATAAGTTATGAATGCAAAATCTATGACCAAACCATCGAATCCTAAGGGCTACCTGGGGTATTCGAAAAAAATTTAAAATCAATTATACTTTCGATTTCGATAATTTTTGGTAGATCGGCAATGAATTAAAAAATAATAAGCAAACATATTATTTAACATCCCAGGAATAAAAGGTAGAACCCCAATGTTATACGGACATACGGTTGTACCTACCTAACTCACCAGTCACCTTATACGGCATATGTCAATACTTTTATACTTTGAAATTTGTTTTCCTCCGATAAAATAACCCTAGACATAGCGGTTATTGATAATAACATACCTCTCATACATTTAAATATTATACATCTTTACCGTTCTTACCTATAGTTGGTTCAGCTAGTATGGATATTGGGTACGTCGTCGGATCTCGATTCGGTAGGTACTTCCGACTTCGGAAAATCCGCCACTACCGGGCGACGCTCGAGATAACAGCCGGGCGGTGATAACAAGCTGATAAGTGATAACAGCGGTGTTATCAGCGTTTGTGTTGTTGACAAGACGTGAAAGCGCACGTGCCATAAGCCGGTCGTGCATCATAACAATATCATATAGGTACCTCCTAAATGATGTCGCGGACCAGACGTATTTCGAAAAAATAATAAATATAATATATTCGGTCGGTTTCGGTTGCAAGTCGCAACACGCAAGACCGACCATCAACGCCGTTGGCCGGAGCTCAAGTCTACACTCACGGTTACGTATAATGATGACGATAATAATAACGACGCTCACACGTGCCGGGCGTCTCCGTCGTTCTCTCGCGATTCACAAGTGTTCGACGCCCTTCGTTTGGCCACCAGCCATCTCGCCGTGAGATCCGTAGCACATTTTTTTTTTTTTATTATCGTTTAATTTTTTTTTATTTTTTAACCGCCCCCCGATTGGATCCTAGAGGAACAGCCGCCGCCGTCTCATATTATTATTAGCCGTTATGTAATATTCTTCGAAAACTGGCACGGGTCCCGGCATAGCTGCTGCTGTCGAGCGGTGGTAAACATCCGAAGAGCTAAATATAGAAGCCGACTGAAGAGAGCCGCACAGACCCTTTCGCCGCTTCGGAAATTCAATACAATTGTTGCCGTCTCCCGTGCGTGTGCGTCCGGCCGTGCTTTAGAGTACCTTCGATTTGAATACATACTTTTGTATACATTTTATCGTCTGTTTGTCTTTTTTCGCATCGAAAGATGAGCGACGAAGTGCTGGACTCGGTTAAGAAATGCGTTGGCGTCATTAAAGGTGCGAAAACGGACACTGAAAAATTCGCCGCGCTGTTTATGGTCACCAAAACCGTGAAGGCCGAGAAATGCAACCCTCGCTCCAAACTTGCCCTGTTCGAAGCCATCGAGTTCAAATTCATCAAACGTTTGTTGCTCAGCGACGAAGTGCCAGCTGGCTGTCCACCATTCGTTTACAAGTCAGTGGCGATGAGCATACTCACGGCGCTGTGCAGTGTCCAAGAGGTTGCCACTCATAAAGAAATATTACAAAATGTTGATGTGTTCCTAGATATTGTACTCAGCGAAGGTGATGAAGACGAAGATGAAGCGGACGAGGATAATCTCATGCTAGTTAATGAAGCTTACAAGTGTTTGAATTTTATTGTAACTTTTGAACAGGGCTTAAAAGCACTATTTGATGTTGACACAGTAGGAAAAATGTGTAAAGTGTATTCTCAAAAAAGTTTTCAGACAGATGAAGCATTGTCATTGCTTGTTACCATCGTTGAGAAATTTGGTCCACCTTCCTGGGAAAATAATGTCCAAAACTTTAACACACTGATGAACATCTTAGCAGTAGATTTTGAAACTGACCACAGTGAACGAAAATTTAAATTATGTTCAATACTTTCACCTTTATTAGGCAATTGCCCAGTAGAAATTGTACAAAACACTTGTGATAATGAAATATGGCCGACAAAATTATTCTTAGGACTGCGAGACATATTGACTAGTAAGCTTGTTAAAGCACAACGAGATCCAGCAATCAAGTTAGCATCGCAAATGCTTACCACATTTGGTGCTGAATGGTCACTACAAGATGAAGCAAAACCAAAAGTATTTTTCTTGATGTTAATACATTTGGCTTCAATTGAAATACGTATGCAATTAGAAAATACAAAATTTGAACAGGTACCTATTATTATTTATTTTGTACCTATATTTTATTTACATTTTGAATATAAATAGTGAGGTAAATAATTGCATTCATAATTACATTTTAGTTTAAAAAAAGTTAATTTGGTTTCTAAAATGTATGATATGCGCGTATATATTGTAGGTACATTACCTATTTATGTACATTAATATTTTAATTAATTTAAGTTTTCCTCAACTAATTTATGGTATCCAAGTAAGAATTATTTTATCAAAATTGATTAAATTGATTTATCTTTAACAAATGTACTTAATGTCTTAATAGTACTTGATCTAGTACTTAATTATGAACCTAATTATAACAAATAATAGAGAATTTCTGGTTTTTAGTTAGAATTACTAGAAAATCACTATAGGCTCATAACATTTTATGTTGGATCTATTCCAATGAAGTATTAGTTTGTGTAAAATTTTTATTTTCAAACAATTATTTAAAAAAATGTTGATAAGTAGATATAAAATATAATTTTAAATAGAACATTAATTTATTGCATGAATCATAAATTAAATAAATTGTAAAATAATTGTATTATTTATTGAATCTACCTAATACTTTTTTATGCATTCATTTATCTTAACTATAAATAAAAGTAATAATTTATTATTAAATGTCCAACTATACCTACAGAAATTATTTGGCTCAAAATTTCTATTTTAAATTAATTGTATTAATTTGTACTTATATCATAATCTTTTTTGTCAATTTCCGTCTTATTTATAAGATTATAATAAACTTACTTTTGGCTAAAGCTCAGTATTTAGGTACATCACCTGTAATTTACCATAGTATTTTGTGAATCCATTTTATTAATTCTTCTAAGAGCTTAAAATGAGTTTAAGTAGTAACCGTCATCCATGGACCATAAAACCATATTATTATACAATTTGTATTGAAGGATTGTTAAGAATTTTAAAAAGTATTTACTTACTTTTACAAGATACAATGGGTGTACCTATCATATTTAAACCTTTATCCAGAGCTTTACCTAAATAAATTGGGGTTTTGTTTGTTTTATATCAAAATAATCGTAATTAATACTCAACTAAATGTGAAAAATATTTAAAATGTATTACATATGTAATGTATTTACCATATTTTAATTGGTTATTTTTTTTTTTCTAGGTGTTGGCTGCAGAAAATTTACTTGGTTCATGTTTCACAATTCTAGAAATATCAATTGCGTTTCTATCAGCTGACACTTTAGATTTAGAACAAAAAGAAAAACAGCAAACATATACAGCACTAAAAGGAGCTTTTACTGCTGTATTAAACCTTCTAAAAACGTTATCTGTATCTAAAAAACCCTTAGAAAACAAAGAGAAATGTTTTGTATGTTTGATGCTCATGTCACTTTCTGCATGGTTAACTCTAGAAACATCTGCAATGAAACCTGCCGTGAACAATATTTTGCCATTTGCATTACAGATTGCCAATGAATCATTCTTTGCGTACCGCGCACGTTACATATCAGAACATATAAAATCTGAAGATAAGCCAGTAACATATGATCCTTTGAGTTCCGTGGATGTGTTGAGAGCATTTTTACCAGCTCTATGTCATATAACAGTGGATGACAGTGGTCGTGCTGTATTATTAAAAATTAAACAAGAAGAGGTATTGCAAGAATGTTTGGCATTTCATTGGTCAATTGCACATTATAAAAAACCATTGATACCAAAATCTGAAAGAAGTAAACCCAGAGGGCCAGAACCTGAAATTCCAGCCGAACGTCTGAAACAAATGGCTGACTCAAGAGGAGCAATTATTAGTATATGCAATACATTCATGAATATCTGTGTATTAGAAGTTGATTATGTGAAAAATAGTCCATTGTTTTTTACTCTCATGAAATTTGTGTTTGATAATCTACCTGAATTAAAAAACAATCATGATAACCTTGTTGTGTATGGCAACATGGCTGTTCTGGGTTTGTTGCTACTGAAATTGAAGACTGCTTACATTAAGAAAAATGACTTCTCTATTTGCCGTTACATACAAGCAACTATTCGATTTCTTTGGGATGCGTATACCGTTGATGAGAATAGCAATAATTCACGATTTGTATTAGGTCAGTTGGTTGTGACTATGACTTATAAAGAAGCATGGATCGAGTTGCAAGAGTTATGGTTTTTGGGTATGCAAAATCTTAGTGGCATCTTAACCCTTGTTCCATGGATATCGGAATTTGCAATCGAAAGTGGTTGGGCAGAAGGCATTATAGACATGTTGGTGAAAATTAAGCCAGGTTCACTTCCAACCAATGTAAAATATGCTTATGAAGATTTACTGTGTCGCCTTATTGATGCTAACAGTGATTTGGTAGCTACGCTCAAGAAAAAAGATGCTATTACAGCTTGCCGGGGTCATAAATTTATGGAATTGGGTAAAAAATTATTTGGAGAATAATTATATTATAAAACCATTTGTATTTTATTTTCTATAGCATTTATACTTAATATAAACATTTTCATTTTATTGTATACAAAAAAAAACAATTATATATTGTAGTATTTGAATCAGAAAGCATATTAAATTAAGGACTAATATTATAGATAAGGGACAAATATTTAAAAATATATTTTTAAATTTATGAAATTATAAAATAGTAATTATTTTTTATTTGTGTGTCTATTAAATTAATTTCATATATTATATGACCTAAATATTGCTTCAAACAGAATAATCTTAAATCAATTATTATTCCAGGTTATAAAATAGTTGTTCTTGATGAAAATGTTTAGTATAATATAATAATATTTAGTTTATAATATTATTTTTTTGGTTAAAACGTTTGTAATAACTAATGACTGATATTCTGTTTTTGTTACTTCATTTAATTGGGTACAATTATGTAAAGCCAAATTGTATTTCTATGTTAGTTCATACTGTATCATCATATTGATAATGCTGTAAGTACAGACAACTGTATTTTTTTTTTTATTAAATCTAGTCATTTATAGTATTCTTGCCAATTTTCAATTAAACCCATACACAATAATATAATATGTTGTTTATTTTTCATTTAATCAGTACAATATTGTCAATATTATTATCCAATTATTATAAATATATAACTATTAATAAGGAATATAGATTCATGAGTAACATCCATGACCTCTTGTACTTATGACATTAGCTTATGAAGTAAAGTAAACAAAATTCAATGATGGATCAATTTTAATATTTTATAGGTATATCTAATTGAAACCAAACAATTGAATAATGGATTGAGTAGTCATTAAACTTAATAAATGTAGAATTATAATTTTTATTGCATCAAAACGATTGTTACACAGGTACATAATAGTATTTTCATATAACAAAGTAATATATCACCAATTTTATTCACATTTGGTTTTTTATCATATTTTCATTCTTTTTTTTATACATTGATACACTGTTTCTTAGCAACTTATTTTGATAAATATACATTTATTTTGAACTATATATATTATGCTTATTGCTTACTCGTGTTACATAAACTATTTTATTTTTGTTAATTAAATACAACTCTTGACACACAAACAATCTAAATCAAGATATGTATTGTATAACAATACAATATTATTTCTTTTGAATCGCTTATCACTGTGCACATAATTTTGTTAAGTTAAGTATATACATATGAAATATACACATCTCAAATTCCCAAAATTCACAAATGATTGGTCTATCAATTATTTATCATTTATTTTTTTTAATTAGACTTTTTTTCCTACCTTTATTAACTACAACATTGTGGCACAGATAATAATATTATACTCATATATTGTATTGTATTTATAGGTATTAGGTAAATATTATCTCGTTTAGATGCGGGAGTCTAGTGATAATTTAAATATTATACTTTTAATGTACAGGTATGTATTTTTTTTTTAATATAGGTATTTTGAAAAATGAGTGAAATTCAAAATGTATTAGGTTTTTGGAATGTTTAGTAGTTTCATAATGTGTTATTTTTCTTTTATGCTTATATCATCTTACATTTCCTTGTAAAAACTTCTTACTATACTCCACCCCCACATATACTCCAACAATTTTAAGATAAGCGTTGTTTAGAGATTTTATCTACTTGGTAAGTATATCATTATAAAACTGATACCTATAAAAAACAATAGACTAACTTTTGAAATTCAAGAACTTGAAGCTTTACATGCATTCTTAAGTATCACCTAGACGTGGTAATACAGTTGGAAAAATTGAAATATTTTAGATTTCTATAAAGTATATTTGGAATAGTTTTATGTGGTGCATCGTTTAAAAGTGTGCATTTTGCTTCTCTAATAGGTAGGTATCTTAAATTAATCGTAGGTATATTTATGATCACCAGATTAACAATAATTATTATACTCTGCGTCTCTGCTGCTTCCTTCTAAAATCTAAAATCTAATTAATGACAGTGCAATTAAAATGTGCTCCCAAAGTCCTATCATGTTTTCAAATTAACATTACTAATTACTATAAATAAACACCATACCAGTTACCTATAGGTACTTTATACTTAAAGTTACATAATATTATGTGTTGGAAGGTACCTATCATCTTATAAACACTAATGCCTAACTAATATATTGTAATAATACTTAGGGCACATGGTCACATACTCACATCGTTATTGTGTTCATGATTATAATCAACATAAGCTAAACGTACAGTTAATTCATAAAAAGAGTATTTTTATTAATTTAGTGAACCAATAATAATTTTCTTTTTACTTAAGACTGAAATAAATAGTGGTAGGTACTTGTACTTTATTTACACGAACAACATAAGTTTTGGAACAATAATATTATAAAGATACTTTATTGGTCTGCTGCAGTTTATCATTTCCTTTAACTTTTTATTCATTTAGAAATTGTCTACAATATATTCATCTAATCTCAGACACGATTATTTGTACATTATCACCTCGTGCATATTCTAAAATATAATAATAATTGAAACTACCCTATAAATAACAGGTGCCTACCTACGTATATAAATATAATATAAGTGATGAGTGAAGAAATTGATAGTTATTATTAGGGCTGAGATTTTGATACAATGCCATTGCTCTGTATCTGCCATTTTAAAATGTAAGTCCAAAAGTGGTAAAAATGTATTTAATGTGGATTTTGATTACCTATCATAATTAATTTTTATTTTGCATTTTTTGACAAATTCAAAATCATTAAGCGCCTAAGGTCATTTTTGATGTTTTAATCTACTTCAGTCATTTTTTACAAATAATAATTGTGCACCATTTATCATTGTATTTTAAACCATCATATTGGTATGGTGGGCATATCTACAGAGCAACAATCACCTACATATTATGCAACACTTGTCGACTGCCACAAAATATGGTTTAAGAGGCGACAAGTTTTTTTAATTGTTTGTATTACTACCTAACCTATCTATGTACTTGTAATTTTAAAAGAAATACATTTCTATTAAACACATATATATCTTTACTTCCTAAGCTCTAAGAAATACATTTTGTCATTTTCTGAATATAGTTTTAAGTAATTTTTGCAATTTTTTTTTGTGAATTAAAATCCCAGCCCTACTAATAATAAGTAATAATGTAAGTACACTTATATTATAAATTATAGTGACGTGTATGCGAGTGGGGATATGAAAATATGAAGGATATTAGTGGCTTGGGAACACTCAGCACCACCGAGAGTGCCTTTAGCCTTGGCCATGGCGGGCGATTGACTACTGGCTAGGTATTTATGGGGATATTCGTGCCGTAGTTTAGCCCTGGTCTCTGTTGCTGGTACTGTGGAACGGCGCCCTGTGGGGGTGGTTGACCGTTACTGTTGCCAACCATGAACTGTCCTCCTGCCCCTGCTTGGGGCTGCACATAGCCCATCTGGGTCGGGGGCTGCTGATTGGGGTTGAAGTTGTAGCCCGGAGACATGCTCGCCTGTGGCGAACTATACCTGCCATCGAAATTGCCCGTCTGCTGATTATTGGAATTCGGAATCAAAAGCCTCCGGCTGAAATCAAAGGCAGCATTTTTTCCGGCCGAGCCCATGTCAAATAGTTTCTGCGTCCCCATCTGACCTTGGTCAAGTATTTTTCCGATCACATCCCTGAACACTCTGGTTATGCCATCCTTTACGTTCCCGCCGTAATGGCCCAGCTTTTCGACCGCGTTGAACGCCATACCGACTGGCTTCTGCACCAAGTCCATCGGGTTTGTCTGCATCAAACTATTGATCACCTGTGAGGGCTGCAGAAAATCTCCTGTTAACAACGAATGTCCATTATGATATTAATATTTTTATCATAACAATAATATTATTCCTCTAGACTTTTTTTTCTTTCTATCCTTCGTGTTTGGTAGATTAATAGGTAATTACTCTAGAGTTATTATAGTTAAAAATAAGATTTATCACGAATATAATATTTCATTGGAGTCTGTTCATTTAGATAATTAAATACAATATTTTCGGTCGCATAAAACGCACCCTTCACTTTTCGGCTGATTCACTTTTCGACCAAATTTAAAAAAGGTCGTTTCTCTTTTCCACCAAAACAAAAAGTTATATAAATATATTATAAAATGTAAAAAAAATTAAATAATTGTTATATAATTTTTGTAACATTAATGGAACTATAATTTTGAAAATTGTTAAAAGTATAAGCATTAAGCTTTAATATTTAAAATGTTACATTCACAGTCCCAGACACTATAGTTATTGCAAGAACATCGATCTTACGAAAATGAAATGAGTAACGAAAGAATTTAATGAGTTACTGTCTTACTGATATTAATTCATCTTGGCTATAAAAGATAGAGGCTCTACTCTCTAGGTACAATATACGTCAATACGTATAAAGATCGATCAAACAGGTACATACAACATACTACATAAACGTAGGTGCCCATATATTATTACGTAGTTGCCATTACAATCAAACTCGACGAACTCGACGGTCACCCATTAAATAATTTATGACAACAATTATAATTAGGTTTTAATAATTAGTTTAATATAAAATATAATATTATATTATGAAAGTTTTTGTATCGTATAATTTTCAAAATTAAATTATATTCAGTATAATTATACTTAATAACTATTGACAACAATTGTATAATATTATATTAAATTTGTTTATAATATAATACTACACGTGTTGTGACATATCAACATAAAAATAATGTCAATGAACTTATAGGTATTCTTACATTTTAAATATTAAAGCTTATACTTTTAACAATTTTCAAAATTATAATTGCCGTAGTTTTGCAAAAATTATATATCAATTTTTTTATTTTGTTTACAATTTATATTAAACGACTTTTTGTTTCGGTCAAAAAGTGAATAGGCCAAAAAGGGAAGGGGGGCGTTTTTGTTCCAGAACGGTGATGCCCCGTTGACTGCAGGGAACGGCGAAAGTCAATCATGACCGACTTTAGGGCTTTTTAAAGGGTGGGGAGCATTAGCAGGATTACGTATCTAAAACAAACAAGATTCACTGTGCTTTCCTTGAGTATATTATTATTTTACCATATTTTCACATCTTCAACATTTGAATACTTTATTTGTATGTAAGAATCATTCAATATTTAAATTAAAATTTTTTAAAAAAATAGTACAACTAAGACGTTTGCAATACTAATGATCTTATTCAACAAAATGTGTTATACCTATACTGTATAGTTTATACATAATGGAAGTTCTACTTTGTATTGTAGGTAGTTTCAGTGAAGATAAATGGACAATGTCTGTTTAAAATTACACACAGAATACAATATGACGAAATAGTTTTTAAAAAAATAGCATTTTTGATTAGTGACTATAGTATATAATTATTTATCTATTATCAATATCTAAGAGGTTATTTATATAGTTAACTGTCAACCAGTCTTGTAAAGTACAGCGGAGTAAAATTATTCAAACACTTTTTAAGTACCTACTCAAATACGTATTTTAACTACTTTTTAAGAAGTACTTGAACAAAGTATCTATAATTAGAATCAAATACTTATTCGTTTTAATTTAGATATTTTCTATTTAAATTTAAATTTTAGTCACTCTAAATTTTTTTTTCTGTGTATTTTACTGAACCAAACATTATTATATTTTGACTAAAAATTCAGATGAGAATATTTTTATAGTTACACCAAATGATACAGTGTAAGAAACTGTAATATAAGTTATATATATATTACATAACTATATGTTAAGTGTATAATATTAAAAAAGGTTTTGTTGTTTTACAACTTTATAAGGTAAATAATGTATTTATACATTTTAAAGTAGGTATTTGATACCTATAAATAGGTACTAAATACTTTTTTAAGATGTCTGTATTAGTACTCAAGTAAGTATTTTAAATACTTTTCAAAATTAGTACGAACTGTATCTGTGGTTGAATACTGTAAAAATATAATTTACAAGATTGCTGTTAATAGTACCTACCATATAAACATGACTTGTATAAATAGGTATAATTAATATATTCAACTCTGAAATTATAATATTATAAAATTATATTTTTTTCACCTAACAGAAATATAGAATTGATTTGTGTTGTATGTTGACACTTGAAACTTTCATTTGATAACCATGCATAATCAAGTATAAAAAATGTGTATCATTTAAATGTTTATTAAACATGTTACAATCGTTTAAATTTTCAATACTATTATACCTAGGTTGGTTCATTATCGCACTGAAAAAAATAGTAGTTGTTCATATAACCGTTAAAAATGGTTAGCACAATCATAATCTCAGGTTAATATAGTGACACAATAACTAGTCAATAAATGTATGTCTGGACTCTGGAAATACTAAAATGAATAAGTTGAATCAACGTAGTTAAAAGTTGGAACAACTATAAAACAATTGGCCTCTCGCATCCACAAATTATGAAAATTAATTTAAAAAATGATAAATATTATTATTTATTTCATATCATAAAACATTTTACGCTTCATAAAGAAATAAAGAAACGATATATTTATATGTACAACTAAATAAGAATAACCAGGACGGTCAAACACTGAAACATTTGATGATGGCGGATGAGTCAAATATGGTACCTTATACCTACGAAGTATGAGGCTATAAAAAAGGTACGAAACTAAAACGTATAATAATACTTTCAGAAAACTATAGAACTTTAATGTTCCATACTCATTGTTTTAATTTGCTTCTTAGAAATATACGATAGGTATCGTCCAAACTATTAGCTATGATTGTTTTGGTGTAGGTAATTCAAAGTTCAAACACTATATTGGCACCATTATTTCTGCTTCTATTGTAAGGTTGGTCAATTCTTCAGAAGTTCATTAATTTTGAATCATTTTTTTACTATTCATATTACATACTAAAAAAAATTAGGTTTCCTTAAGGTACTTGTAAATAAAAATATATGTTTGGTTTCACAATAAATTTCTCACCAAGCCTCACAAATCCTAAGGGTGGCCGTGATTAATGGTCTACTTAAGTCGGAAATCAGGATTGATCTTGGTGAAGGAATTACTGTCAAATTGTGTGGTGTACATTAAAATAATTGTTGGTACCTACCCATGCCCGTGCTTAAGAACGACTGTCCCGGAAAACCTGGTGTATTGACTGGCGCCGGAGCTTCGTATATGTTGCTATTGGCATAGTAAGGAGACGGGTATTGTTGACCCATGGATGGCCTCGCGGAAGGGTAATGATTCGGTGGATATGACGATGGCATTGGTTGGGTGTACTTATGTTGAAAATTATTCATAGGGTCTTGCTGGTTATTCGGAGGGCCTTGTGCGTTATTTATCTGCTCTGTTAACTGCGCTTGAGGTCTATATTGATTTTGGCCTGACGATAGGTTAGGATTCGGCTCTGATTGCGAGTTAAGGCGAAACTGTGGATTTATTCCTTGGTTTGTTTCATCGAAGGTTGACACCTGTGGTGGACCACCAGAAAACATCGGTACTCGGCCACCACCCGGCATATTTAATGGACCTGCAACATTGCCTAGTTGTTGTTGTAGTTGTGGTAGTGGGTTGGTTCCGAAATCAGGATTCATTGATTGTCCAGTCAATCGATTTATGTTTGGTTGCATTTCTTTTACCAAATTATTTACTGGACTCAACATTCCAAGTGGTTTTGGTGGTTCTTGTGGCTGAGTTGGTGGTCGTTGTTGTTGTTGTTGCAGTTGTTGCTGTTGTTGCTGTTGTTGCTGTTGTTGTTGTGGTGGCGTTGGTTGTGGCTGCATTTGTGACTGCATTTGTGGCTGCATTTGTGGCTGCATTTGTGGCTGCATTTGCGGGGGCGTTTGGGGGTTCATTTGTGGAGGCATTTGTGATTGTTGTTGTTGTATTGGTGGTTGTTGCTGTTGTTGCTGTTGTGTTGGTGGTTGTTGTTGTTGTACTTGTGGAGGTAGAAATTGTTGTGGTTGTAAGCGTGGTTGGAATTGTTGTTGTTGTTGTTCTTCTCCATCACAGTACACATAATCCTAAAATGTAGGTAACATTAATTATTTTATCAAGATAATACGAATTAAAATATTTTATTTCGATTATGTAGATGTATATAAATTATATAGGTATTTCTTTTCTGTTTTCGTTGTAGAAATGATTTTTTTTTTGTTATACGTCATCCCTTCGATTTGATATTTTTAATGGTTTACGGGATTTGGTGTATTATTGTGGCAATCATGCTACGTCTTAACGTCGAATAACACATTTTAGTACCTACTCAAAACGCAATATAAATATTAAATTTATAACACGGAGAAAGTGCCTACTGCCTACTGTCTCAGTAACAAGCCCCAGACTTCAAGCGATTATGTTGTGAGCCGTATTGAGGTGTTTCACACTTAAATCGGAGTATATACAAAACATTTATAAATACATTTTTATAAAAAAAAGTCTTAAATAAATTAGTTATCTCTAAGTAATGTCTATCCATGTCCATAAAACACCCTATATTATTACCATAAAAATATTCAATAAATAATTAAAACTGTATAAAAAGTAAAAACATAGACATATTATAATATGCAATATAAAATAATAAATTTAAAAAAATGTAAGGAAAGTAATTAAAGGAACTTTAAAAATACGCCGAAGTATTACCTATAGCCCTTCTCTTTATAAATTAATTAAAAACGAGATTGATGATTCGTTTTTGCTTAACCAGATTAATTTTAAAAATTAACACTCATAAGAAGTCATAACTTCTCAATCATTTAATATCTAATCATTCATTTTATATTCCACATTTATCTCAAAGATACTAATTAAATGACTCTTAATATTTTGATTTCTTCTGTAAACAATCAAACTATTCAAGTAATCATTAAATTAATATTCACATTACAAACGTTGCTATTCTTACTTTTTTTTTATTATATATTTCTTCTCTTCTTCTTACTTTTTAGGTTGATATCTATATGAATATTGTTTGAGAATTTGTGAATTTTTAAGGTTTATTATGTTATTATCATTATTAATATATTATAAATTGTACATTATCTGTTTGAGTTATAAATAATATATTGTACTTAATTTAATTAAAGGTTTTTCCTATAAGTATTCCAATTTATTCAAAACAATCTCTAAATTATTTATTTTGGTCAATACTTATGAATTATAATAGTACATTAAAGTAATAGTTACTTAAGAAAACATACAACAAGCATAATGTAAGATAAATATTATGGCGAACATCAATATATATCAATTTTAGCAATTTTATTATAGTAAGTACTTTGTACAATTGTAGTGTTGTACCCATTATAATTATAATGAATAATGATTGACATAATATTATATAAATACGTTATGAAGCTTTTTTCCCCATATAGGCGTGGTCAGACTTATACAGCAAGTAGGTACTAATGAACAGCCTGAAATATTCCAGTAAAGTACACAAAATAATTTAGAGTAAAAGAGCTTTGGAAACAAACAACATCACTATGTACGAACAGCCCACATACATAGCGATAGCGATTAGCAAGTAAAGTGCTTCCTGCCTACTCCTTGATCAGGTTAGGTTGTATCATTAATGTATTAGAATTATTAGACTAATACTTTTGGAGTAAAACAGTTGTCGACGATATTTTAATAAAAGCCCAAGTGTAATAGCAACCATTCGCTGCAATACCCGTAAATACGAATATGGTTTGCTGGTGCTCAATGTTTGTTTTGTGATAAATCTAAACTTTAAAATGTGCACTAAATTCATTTCTTAACGGAACAAAATATTAAATGACGTTGAGCGTGCGATATAGAACTTCAAGGAGCCACTAGAAGATTAAACAATTGTATTTCCCTTGAGTTAATCATCAGCACATTAATTTTATATTCGTGATGAATGTATGAATGTTCTCGGTCGCATCTGCCGTCATTTTTAGAGAAAAATGCATCGCATTTGGATTTTGATATTTTGAATAGATAGTGAAGTATTTATTATTGTTATTATCATAATAGAAAATCAAAATGGACGTGGATTGCAGATAACGAAATATAAGTACAAACAGTTATATTATACAACTAGGTATACAATTTTTAAAATTATAAAAAAATTCACATGATAACGAGAATGTTAACGTTCATAAAAACAAATCGAATATCACAATAGTGAATTGTTATGGCGGTAAACACTAATCAGGAAATAGAAGAAAAAGGAATAAAAAAAATGTATTTTATATACAACCTAGCACCTACGCCTATTAACTTGTAAATGTATAGATTGCATATTCTTCTTAATAAATTATGAAAAAAAAGGGTAGGCAAGTATAGATACCGCTCTGCTATACAGTAGGAGTCGAGTGGGGCACTTTACCAAAAGCAGTGTAATGTAAGCAATGTGTGATATATGACCGTCGAGAAAGATTAAAGTGGACTGAGGCCCTATATCTCCGACGGTGGTTAAAAAGCACCTCCTTTAACATCCCATTTAAAAATGTAGTATTATTTGTAATTTAAATTTTACATGAAATAAATTACAAATTTAAACATTATATTCAGGGTTGAAAGGGGGATGACTATGCTTACACAATCACAGCTTATACATTACATATTGCACATTAGACATTAAATGATTTATGGAACGCTTAACACTATACATGGAGACATTATTCCCCCTGGAATTTTTTCCTGCTTTAAGCCCTAACCGTCGAGCGGTTATAATATAATATTATGTCGTATTCAACTTTTATCAAAGGAGGCTAGTAAATTAACAGCACGTCAATTTCTATTTTCTAAGAATAGTTTATGTATATTATTATTTGAATTGTGACAATTTATTCGATGGTCACTTCAAAAATAATCATGAATTACATGGCAGAAGTTATAGGTAATGATTTAAGGCTGTCGAAACTGTACCATTATTAAGGGGTCATATTTAGGCAATATTCCATGTCCATTGTCACTGATGTTTGAATGTGTGTGTAATGAAAATCAATGTTTCCTTTGAAAATGCAACCAAAACTCAAGTCAACCCACTACTAAATGATGATTAATTCTTATTAACTGCAAAAAAATGTATTTTACTTAGCAATACAGTAATACACTAATATAGAAATACTCAATGGGGATTTTCTTGGTTATAATTATCATTATTCATCGGTTGTATAAAATTAAAATAAATAAAAACAGGTTTATAAACTGATAATGACTAAACATTTTCCAATTATAATAATTTCTTGTGTGATTTAGAAATGTCTATGATTATTTAATTAAATATTTGTATCTAATATTTTTCTCAAGTAAGTAAGTAATGTGAAAGCAGCCTCCTCGTATCTAACGGTACTACGAAAAAAAAAAATACATAATATTATATTTCACAAACTACAAAATTCTAAATGAAAGGTTTTTATGAAAATTTAACTTAATTTTAGTAGGTGCTACGGTATATAGAACCGAAACTAGTATAACTCGAAGTTAACACTTAATATTATGTTCTATTATAAAAGTAACTTATTAATTCAAAAGTTAGTTCCAAAAAAAATTAACGATGAGTCCCCTAACTTAGTTACCATTCACGTTATAAATTAATTTTTGATTTTAACTCGTTAATATGTAACTTGAGTCTAAACCTTACATCACCACTACATCTCACGGACCACGGCCAGGGTCCCCTTTGTGAAAGGAAAACTAGTGGATAATATTCTATTTTTTTATTGCGCAGTTATGTTTTCATTGATTTCAAAAAACTTCCCTCGTCATGAGGTCGAATGCACTATAGGTACAAGTATTTTATTATCTAAGGGCCCCATCATAAGTGACCCATGTGCATAAATGAGACGAAAACGATTTTATTATATCATTGTCGTGCAGGCGCTCGTGAATATGAAAGCGCATTCAAAGCTAAGTCGTGTGTCGTGTCGTGTCGATCAAATCGCATTGTGATTGGACTTTTTAGGGCTATTAATTCTATAATATGCATTCGCATGTTATTTCCTTTCAGAACGAATTGATTGGTTATCAGATATTATGTCCACGATTTGGATTATTCTCGATAGTAATAGAGCAATTAATTTTTTTTTTTTGCATATTTTGAAAACAATGCATATAATTGCATAATTTGATTTTTGAAAATCTTATGAATTGTATTTAGTTAATAAACCTCTTTAATATTATTGAGTTATTTGTGGAATTGCCGTAAATTTACTATCTAATCTTATCTATGTCAGACGACAATATAATACATTATTTTTGTTTTTTATTAGTACTACAAAGTCAGTATAATATCAATCACCTGTCACTCGTGTTTCAAAATTTGGAAAAGTCTAACATCACACCAATGATTAACGTAATAATAACTACTTACAATACATAATGAATAATTACTAATTAGGGCCTAGTTTCTGTTTAAATTAGCTCGTGATTTTTATGTAAAAGATATTAAATTTTATGTAGAAATAAAAAAATATGTTTTTGCATATTTTACAATATCTTATTGCTTAAAAATCCTACAATATAGTAATTCTGTAGGTGAACTGTAGAAGAATATGCATTTGCATACAAATCCGGGCCCTAGTAATAACCAAGTTTCAACCGAGTAAAATATTGACCAATCAATTTTTAAACCAATATATGGTGACCAATCCCTCGCACCACACTAAATCCAGTTCAAGCGTTGCCCATATTATATTATACCGACCTGATTTGAGAAGATCGCGACGAGCAGCCAGAGGACGGTCGCGGCGGCGAGCCGGCCGGAAGCGTTTTTCCCGTCGACGGCCATCGTTGTCGTGGTGATAATGACGCTTGACGCTGATCGGACGGAAGTAAAATAAAAAATAACCCGGAACCGAATATGTCAGGCCGCAATATCAATATTATCGCGACACCTCGGTGGTATTGTCGGCGGTACGCAATCGGTAACGTTTTTATATAGGTACGCTATTTGGTCGTCGCCGATGTGACGTGTGTCTGCGTATAGGCCTATGTTTTGTTGGAGCGGATCTTTTGTGTTCGCCAAACCGCCAAACAGATGTGACAGGCCGGGGGCCTCGTGTTCGCCCGGTTTTTTATTTGTCAACGTCACAAAAACAATGATGACGACGATGGCGGTAATAATATGTCGTGTACATTTCGCGATGTCGTTATAATACGTGTTTGCGGGGCCTGAACGAATTATGAAAAACAATTAAACTCGATGTACCTATATTAATTAGGTATTGGTATTAATTATATCGCTCAGACTGGGATCGTTTTCGCCGCGATATTTTACTGCTAGTGTGGGCACACTCTATAATAGTAGTATATTATGACGTCTCAATCGTATACGTCTGATATTATTGTGGCGGCGGTGGCGGCGGCGGCAGGACGATGCGAGGACGAGGCGGAGAGAGAAAGAGAGAGATAGAGTTGAGGGAGATTTTTTTTCCGTTTCCGTTAGACGATTCCGCGGGTCCGTGTACGACTGTCGGTTGACATAATAATAATAATATAGCACGGGTAGTGCCAGTCGTGTACCTGTACAACCTGTTGGAGTGCAGGCTCAAGGAAAATAAACACAACTCGATTTGCCCCATCCGTCGTTGTCGTACGCTTGGGCTGTGTGTGCTGAAGCTATGTACACACACCGACCGAGTATATAGCAATCGGTGTACTTACCATTATTATTACTATTGTTATTATTATTATTATTATTATGACGTTCGAAATTTGACAGGTGTCGCGAGCGGTGCGCGGTTATACCGCCTTGTTCGTATAATTTCGCGGATAATATTATACAGTATGTGATAATATGTGGTAAAAAATAATAAATAAATAGCAAAAATACACTACGACATAGTATTATATAGGTATACGGTGTATCTATACTCGTATAAATAACAGTCAACGTTTTGTCGAACTTTGTCGGAAAAAAATAATAATAATAAAAACGCCACTTGCCGCCTCCCAATTATAATAATTATGCCGGGGGGTTTTTTTTTTACCGCATCGACATTTTTAAAAGGTAATTTCCTTTTTTATGTACGTTTGTTTCCATTGTAATAACCTGTCATTAAAATAATCATTCTTTACAATTGTCCTCGCATAACAGGGGCGCACGTAGAGTATAAATTACCAAATCACCCAGACATTTTAGTCGCTTTCTGAAATCATTGCATTTTTTTAAAATAAAGAAATTTACTTCGTATTAAATTTGACTTCCTAGAAAATGAAGAGCTATTCCGTAATCGCAGTGTCAATTGTTTTGGCCTTTTTTGCGGCCAACACATTCGTGAGTATATTATTATTGTTGTGTACCTATGTCTGACAAGAGTATGACAGCTCTTGAAGGTATGCATTTTTAAAGCTATTAAGACACGAGCCATTAACATTTTAATCATTTCAATAATTGTATGTTATGTCACGCGATTATATTCATTTAAATCATTGTTTGTCCTTAAATGACAAAATGTTGAATCGTAAAACTCATATAAATATAGGCAAGAACGATCATATTTGTCAAATTAGTATTGTAAGGTTGAAACATAATAAATAATAATATACATTAATAAGACTGTTTAAAGCGAACCGTTTTTAAGGCTTTCGATTTAGGCAATATTCAATATCCACCATGAGTGATGCGTGACTGATCATATTATAGTGTGCGTAAGTTCCCCGAACGCTTTATGTAATTAAAGATATAAACTACTGCTTAGAATCTTGGAAATCCGTACCGTAACACACGTCACTATATTTTGTGATCAAAAAGTTTTGAACATGAAAGTTCCAAAAAAGGGAAAAAAATTCAGTTGAAGGTGATTTCTTCTAGCAAATTGGATCTACTTTTCAAAAATATTGTGAAAAACAAAAAAAAAATAAGGTCTTAACGGGAATTTGTACACAAAACCAGTTAAAATCGTTTATGTTTTTTTAATTGTAATTCAAAAATTAATAACTGTTATCGAAACTTCTCACGAAATTTTTATACAGTAATTTCAAGTTGAGATAGTGGAAAAAATTGCATACTCAAATTAAAAATATGAGTTAAGTAGTTATTTTGCTGTAATTACTAAAATATTATTCGTAGGTACTATACACTTTTCGCCTTTACCTACGAATATTATTATTTAGTATTTTCTTTACACGGTGTGTTATTTTTAAAATATTTAAATTCATTTTAAGTTATTTATGATATGAACCCAAGCATAACGATCTACGGTACGAAGCAGTATTGGCTAATAAGTTAATAACAGGCAACAGCTAATAATATTGCATTGAAACAATATCCTGATAATACAACGTGTTATGCAATCTGTTTTTGTTAAAAATTTGTTCAAAGTTCCAACCTACCATGTACCTGGTACCTACCTACGGTAACAAGAAAAAAACATTTCTAATACCAATATTAGAAAGCCTACTTAATACAATATGCTTAGAAATATATAGTCTGACAGACCGCTTCAGAATCGTTTTGCGTAGGTATGCAAAGATTTAGCATTGAGTCCAATTTTAACGCGACCATAGTAACCTACATAATACTGAGTTGTACTTTCGACACTTTTTATACAGCAGACTGCAGTGCAAATTCCCCGATTGTTTTTAATCGCACATTTTTCGACAACAATTTAAATAAATCATAATTATTAGAGTTTAGACAATAGTTATACATTTTATTCTATTAAATTATCAATTTAAAAATATGGTACCTAACCATATTATATACGGAATGCTTGTACCATCATGAACGTGTCTCAATAATGAGTGAAATACAATAGTTGGGTCCCAAATAAATGCACTTACTTTTCCCTAACTAGTGAGGTTTTAACTGTCTATAACTTTAAACTTGTCATAGTTGTTAATGTATTATTACTATTGTTATATTAACAATTATATACGTACGACATACCTACGTCTTTGTATTCCGATTCAATAGTAAATGAATATTGATTCCTTTACTGCAATGTCTCACTATTTCAATATGTACCATAAGTATTAATTATTGCTTAGTGAATTATTAGGTAAAAAAGTATTATAATAGGTAACGATTCTTTTTTCATATAAATGTTGTTCATTGATAAAAAATAATAATATAATTTGTCACTGCAAAATCATCACTCGTCTGATTTAGTTTCAACAGAGTATAAAGGCATTTTATAATAATATGTGCATTATAATATTGTAGCCGCTGTGTTATAAATGTTGTACGAATATTTTTGAAGTAATAATTTAATTGATTTGGACCTTTGCACAGTTGATTGTAACGGTGGCATAATATTATTATTACATTTTTAGCCTTGATGTATAAGCCCTGAATGGGCCCCCCATACGCTTTAACACGAAGTAAAAAAAAAGAAAAAAATAGTTCACATATCTCTTTGAACAGTTTTTTATGACCATTATAATGAAAAATAAAAACAGTAAATAATAATTTATTACATTTAAAAATCTGTAAATAAGCTATATTTAGCTTAATGTTTTTTTAAAAAATCTATATGAGACAGCAGTGTCAATGATCAAATAGGAATGATAATGATGGTTGCACTTTTTTCTACTTATTGCATTACAAAATTTCGAATGGTCTTTTTATCTGGTTGTCTTAAATATTATTTTAATTTGTATTTAGACATATTATGTATGTGTTATTTTTACTTAAGTATTAATTTATCGATACAAAGAAAAACAAGGTGAACATTCATTGTAAAATTACATAAGTAACTTGACTAGAGAATGTCATGGTATCATAATATCATGTTTAATGTTTAAAATCGGATCACATAATAAAAAAAATTCATTGGCAATGTGTCATTGATTTCATAGTAATATCTACATTTTGGCAATCTCAAATACATTTTAGTAGATTTTAATTACCTCGGGAACCACATCTATATAAATTATTATTTATTTATACTTGTGTTGATCAATGTGTAATTACGTGACGTATGTAGGCACTGTGTTATGTGGCACCTGCTATAAATTTGCCAAAAAAACAATTGTAAACGAAATAGTAATTTAGACTCTATATACCTATATGACTGCATATGACAATACCACGTTGATACTGATTTTAGAATAAATAAATAATTAAGAGTACAGGTCCCCAATTCCCCATGCTCACACTGCAGCGGTAGCAGTGGCTGTAATGGAAAAATGAAGCCGGACACAATTTTACCGCCACCTATGCAGTGTGTCTATCTATATTATTTCTATTTTAAAGTAATTAGTTAACCAAATTAATATTTTATTATTATTGAGATTTTCAAATTATTTATATATGAAATTAAATAAAATACAACCTACTATATATCAGGCACTTTTATCACGTGATTATTAATTAGGTATTATAAATTGAAGTTACTACAATTATATAAATTTTTTAAAACAATCAATATTTCTGACGTTAGAGGTACATGGGCAAAAGTATTCCAGCATATTTTTTAATGGCTTCTCATTATTGTGTTTCGTGCTTTGATAATATATATAAACATGCTATAAACAGTGTTGTAAAGTAGGTACTCAATTACATATTTTAAATACTTTTGAAAATAGTACTTCAACGGAGTATTTTAAATATTTTCTCGAAATAATAATAGAACTTAAAAAATCAAGTACTAATTTGTAGTTTTCATATGCATTAATAGTTCTTTTTAGTTTATGTATTTTCTATTTTAATATTGATCACTTAAAACAGAAATACAAATTGAGAATATATATAATAATATATTTTTTACTGTGAAATATACTGAACCGAAAATCAAATACTTTTACACAAAAAACAGTTGAGCATTTTAAAGTTAAATCAAATGTCGCAATGTAAAATATATGCTATACAGTATATACAATTAATGTAAACCATACAAATCGGTTCAGTTGATTTATGATGAAGTAAAAAAAAAATGTGTATGTATTCGAAGTATCTCTCAATACTTTTTTATGTATCTGTATTTACTGTCAAATACTTTTTTGCTGAGTATTTAAATACATATTACAAATACTTTCAAAATAAGTATGTGCACTTGAATTCAAAAATCTCTTACAAGATTTGGCATATCAAGTCAATAATCGTGTAATAGCACAGCAGCGGATTTTAGGTCTGCGTATTTGTGGGACGACGAATTATAGATTGGCCACCCGTTAGTTTTTCCCTCCATTGATTGCGTTTTTTGATTTTCAGGCACACGAATCGTTCTTCGGACAAGATGTTTGTGACATTAAGTATCACTTGCACGAAAACTTGGCTACTGTGCTTAAAAGCGACGTAGGCGTGGATTTACTCAATGATTTGCGACAGAACATCAATGATATCTGTTTGGACCCGAAGGCCCACAACGCCCTTATTTCCATGTTTAACGGGATCATCGACGTGACGACCGACCAAAATGTCTCGCAATCCCTGGGAAATATATTCTACTGGGCCAGGAAAATCATGAAGGACCCCAACTTCCGTATGGTCTGGCACGAGAATATGAAAGGCGTTAACATGTGTTTTGACAACCTCGCGGTCACCAGACAGATCACGGACACGACAATAGAAAAATTAGGATTATTGTTGAGAGCTCCCAGTTTCGACTCAACATTTGAAAATGTGATCAAAAATCTGTCCAAGGTGATCAACTTCCGCAAGAACTTTATGTACGGAGCTGCGGGCGCCTTATTTTCCAAACCATCATCCCCGGTGAAACGTTCACCATCCAGAAAAGGCCGGAAATAATTGCTATAAAATTCTGTTCAATATTTATAGACAACAAAAAAGTAATAATATAATAATAATAATAATAATAGTAATAAAACAAGACTTAACATAAAAAAAAATTATATTTTAAAATGTTTTTCATTCATAAAACAAATAATAATTATTGTAAATCATTTTTGCTCGGTTTTTGTATTGTACATAATACCCATAATACCACACGACTGTAATACGATAGTAACTATAAGACAATATAAATGACGATGGCGTTTCTCGTTATAATCTATGTTATGTAGTTACATTCACAGATATCCTCATCATAATATAAGTTGGATAATTTTTTTGGTTATGTAGGGGAGACAAGGGGGCTAATTACACACAGTTTATCGTGTGTTTATATAGTCAATAATAAGCAAACTCTTTGACTGTGGTCAGTGGTGGATTTAATAGTGTTCAAGTCGGCAAATCCATAAGAGGGGCCTCGTACAATATGAATCCGTAACATATACTTACGAAATAGTTGTTTTTGCCGACCTAACCTAACTGCAGCGGTCAATGATATTGCAGTTTTCAATATAGAATGATTTTTTTTTGTGGTAAGCATTTAAAAAATATGTATATATATATGATTATTAGGTGGGCCCCGTCGGCATTTATCGACTAAACGACCGTTAAATCCTACACTGACTGGTGGTTTTGCGTTTCGACTTCAACAACAACCACAAGATATTACGATCTGCGATTATTATTGGATCTCAAAATCAGAGGAAGCACTATGTAGATTTTAATATTTTGATTGTTCGTAGAACGCTGCAGTTATATTTCGTTCACAAAAATATCACCGCTAATCAAATTGTGTATTATGTGAGTGAACCACTACCTAGTATATACTTAGCGTGATGCACGCCGATAAATCGATGTAAAAATACATAAAACCAATCACCGTCAATGATGGTGCCGGCAATATATCTTCCAGATGACTTGCCGATGATAACGGAGAGGTCTTATATTGTTTTGATATACCTTCGTTTTCTAAACGAAATGTACAAATCACACCTCTCAAGTATCATTACTCTTGCAACTCAAAATTCATCAATTTTGAGACATTTGCTACTTTCGAATAGTAAAAAAAAAAGCTCTGCATAATCCAAGACCGCCACTTTCAATGTCATTTTTCATTTGGCCCTTTGAAAGATCTTTCGGTGTGGAATTATAAAATTGTTTAGCTAATTTTCAAAGCAAGGCACACGTATCTACTTCATGGCAAAAAACGTATTTATTAATTTATCCAATTAATCACTGAAGTCAAAATTCAGGACTGTTGTATTTCGTTTTTGACGTATTTTTGTGCTAAATAAAAACTATTTATCGTGTTAATGATTCACTATTTATCTATAACGTTCAGTGGAAAACCGCAATATTTAGAGTTTTTTGCGGTATTGCATTTTATAATCTGTGATAATATTATATTATACATGGCGACTATAACACGAAATACGACTGTCTTGTGTTTATAAATAAAAACGTTTTACTGCCACATCTCGAAATATTACAGTCTAAAATTTACTTAAAAAATTGTAAAAGGCCATAAGTCTAACTGTTTGGGTTTGTGAGAGTATTTCATAATATTTGAAAAAGGCATACCTATTGTATGTTTGCAATTATAATTAGTTTGCAAACGCGCATAGGTAAATATCTCTTTAAAATATCTGAGACTTAAACTTCAAATCGCCTTTTCTCGAAACTGTACATTTTGAGTAGTGGCAGTATTGTTCTAGAGGTGCGAAATATTTTATATCAATACAATATATCTATACCAATTTGACAATGTATGTCGTATTGTTATGTAAAACAGATAATGTGTATAGGTACGTAAAGTACACTACCGCGAGCGTTTTTAACATAAACTCGTAATGTGCATATTTTACAGGTAAGTACCTACGTTTATGGGTATTTTAATCGACGAGCACTTATTTTAAATATACCTTCGCGGTTTAGACGTTTAGTAGGTCGTTGCAGGCGTATCTACCTATACTGTCGTACCCGTCTATTTACAGGAGTGGCGAACACATGTCGATATAATGACGCGGTTGTGTTAATATTATATTGACACGTCGAATTGTGGTAATAACGACGCTATAATATTACATATTATTATGAGGTACCTATATCCATAATACGGTCGAAGTCAAATAATAAGCGTGTATGTGCGAAAAAAACAATTAAAAAAAAAAAAAAACGACGTGGTAAAACAATAATTATTGACGTTTGCTACGAGTGTACAATGATAAACAACCAGGTATATTACATTTTAACGCAGAATACATTTCGTAGTAAACTTATTATTATTGTTGTTGTTGTTGTTGTTGTTTTGTTGCACACACATGCTGTCAGTCGTCGTGTAGACCTATACCTATAATATTATAATATATTGTATTACAACACCTTAAGGTCTGCTGGAACGCATACAACAACACTTTAGGCATACTTCTATAATCTATGCGCAAATATTTGTCAACTACGAATTTTTGTGGTGTTATATTTTATATCTTATACGCCTTTATTTATCATCTCGCAAGTGATCACAAACAATTGTTGATCGGCTTACCAAATGGCTCGGACAAACGGTTTTTGGATATCGGGTAGGAGAGGACAGAAGCTTCGTCGAAGACGTAAATGAGTGACTTTTCATAAATTCAAATGTCAGACTACTTTTAGAACTGTTCAGTAGAACATTAAGTGCACGAAATACCATTTACCTTGTTCATATCCACCAAAAAATATTTAATACTTGCAAGTGGCATACGTATAATATGAATAATCGAAAAATAGTTAAGGGTGCGGGGTGTGCAGTGAAATGTCGACAAATGCGATACGTCACGACAATGTCGAGTTCTTCCATTATAAAGTTACTCAAAAATACGGCAAAACTCAATACCTTTGTATATTACCTCATACCTTATTGTGGAAAACAACATATTTTATTTGTCGACGGTAATTGTCATTGACACGCTCTTCGTCAAAGCTGTCGTATTTTTTGTATACTCATTGTACACTCATGAACATATTATTATTGATAAATAAATAAATATATATAGATATGTACCTATAATGCTTAACTCGTCACTATAACAAAACGAAAACGAAAACAACATCGATGGCTGATGCGTGTCAAAAATTGATATTTTTAATATGGTATAAATACTTTATTCTACCTACAACAGTAAATAACTAAATATGGATAGCTAAAACAATAATGAATACCTCGTAGCAGCAGCGAAGATTATGGCAGTGTATCAATTTCGTATCCACTTTTTTACTTATACACCTATTGGCTTTTATTATTATTATTATTCACTAGCCGAATAGTTCGTCAGAGTATTTGATTTTCAGTTAAGTATAATTCACAGTAAAAAAATGTATCATTATAAAATGTATTATACCGCATGTACATCATTTTTATTTTTACTTCAGGTGTTCTAAATTAAACTAGAAAATATATAAGCTAAAAAAAATTATTGAAGTATTTCAAAGTTAATATTTGATTTCAAATACAGATACTTTTAGAAAGTATTTAAAATACTTTGTAGAAATAGTAGTAGTATACAGTAGTATATAATAGTAGTTTTTTGATTGAGTATCAGTTGAGTCAGTATATTTAGTAGTGTAACGTTTGTAAAATATTACATTAGTTTAAACAGAGAAGTTAATATTCTATACAGTACATAATGTACACAATGACAAGTTTATATTTTATTTGTAGGCATATATACGAGTGATGAGAGTTAACACGTTAGGGTAGTTTTTAATTGAAGACGTCTGTTTCGTTTAATGACACTTATTGATATGTACATATTATATATTAGATACCTACTGATTCCATACAAAAAATGAAGGGTCGATCATTTTTTGAAGGTTTATAGAAGTTTAAAATATGTTTAAAGTCGTGGGTCGCTTTTTGTTGATAGCAATGGAAAATCTATGTATAGTTCAATATAATCTAAATGTCATTGACAGTTTAATAAAGTATTTGTAACCGTATTAATTAAATTATTCCATAAAAGACATAAAATATACTACACATGTGTCAATATCAGTGCCTTATGTCAATGAGTGCAAAAATGAAACTGTGCAATTCTTGTATTTATCAGTACCGTAGCATGGTAATGTGATGTTACAGTTTAAGTTTTAAATTTTAAACACAATATTACAAATATCAACAATTTATTATTTGTCCAAAATCTGTTTTTTAAAGTTTTCACAATTATCTGATAAGAAACTTAAATTTTTTAAAAAGTATCATCTATTAACACCGATACATTCATGTTAACATATTACGTAGGTACATATTTCTGATTTATTTATTCTCACTAAATGATAACATTTAATGAATAAAATAAACAAATCAGATAATTTCAGCAGTCTTGTAAAAAATACTTATTAAAAGTATTCAAGTACAGATGCAGATAATTATTTTGAAAAGTAAAAAATTCATTAAAAAAATATGTACTCGACTATTCACTAAAAATAAGTATTTGTAGGTATACATTCAAATTTTTTATAAATATTTTGTTGGCCTTATATAAACCAAATATCCTTTGAACTGATTTTCATATTTAACATTAATTTTATACAGTATTTTACTCGAAATGAAAATGTCGAAGTCAAACCTGCATAGTTACTAAAAAATGAGTAACCTGCAATTCGTAATACTTTGTAATCACAAAATCAGAATTTGTAACCTGAGTTTAACTAATAAATTTGTGTTTCCTTTCCGGGTGCTGGGCTGATGATTATAAATTCTGATTTTAAGGTTATGAATTATTACGAATTGGTTACTAATTTTTGTAGTATGGTTTGACATTAACATTTTAATTTCGTGGTGATAGACGTATGGGCCTCATTTTACATCGTATCATTTGGTATAGTTAATTTTAAAATAATGAGCTTTTTTGTCGGAGTATTTGTGTTTAAGGTTGGGAATAATTCAAAATTATATTTTTATGACTATTCAATTTTTAAATTTTTTATTTCATGTGATTACAATTCAAATAGAAAATAAATAAAACAATAAGTGTTTGATTTGTATCACAGATATTTTGAGAAAGTGTTTAAAATACTTTGCCCAAATACTCTTATTCAAGTAAGTACCGACTTCACAAAAATAATTTTAGCACCAGATTAACTGTTTCATATTGTGTATCCTGTCACATTTTATTAATGTATTAATTGTGTTATTTATATTAGTTTATTGATACTGATGTTTATAGATGGTAGTTATATGTTATATTATACTGAAATATAATAGACAGCTAAATTACATATTTTAATTACCTACCAGTTTTACCACATTCATTACAATTTAATACACATAATCAACATCTGTAGACACTTAAATGCTTACAGTACACTCGGTCAATATATATATATATATAATAATAAAAACAATTTTCATTAAGTATTTACATTTTTAAAAAAACACACAAGTTGTTCCAATTAAACAATTATTAGAATGTTGCACAAAGCACATTAAAAAAAACACATTCATTAGGAAAAATTTCCTATGGGTTTTGCCTAATGGTTTCAATACCTATTCAATTGTGCCACATGTGCAAATTGAATATCATATTATGTAGATTTTCAAAAATATTCAAATACACATAACAATAACATCATAAAGTGTATACAGTTTCAGTAACTTGTAAATGTCTAAGTTCAGATTATGTCATAAACATTTATGAATTTAATCTGAAGTTTTGAAAAAATCAATTAGGTACAATCATTATTTATTTAAAATGATGAAATACATTGTGAAGTATGTAGATTTTCAAAAATATTCAAATATTAATAGTTATACCATCATAAAGTGTATAATGTTTCAGTAATTTGCAAGTGTCCATGTCGCATACATGTGTCATGACTCAAGCATGTTTATCTGAATCAAATTTGGAGTTTTGTAAAAACAATTACAATCATTATTTATTTAAAATGTTGAAATTTATTGTGAAGTAAAGCATATACAATATACATATTATTACAATATACATTATGTTAATTTATGTTCTGCTAATTGAATAATTCATAGAAAAGTATATAATATGATGGTGTTCATGAATCAACTTAGCAGTTCCATTAAGTTCCATTTACGTAGGTAGTACAAATTCTCCCAAAGTAAATAGATATTACTAACTTATCATCTAGGTACTATCGGACTTCAAGTCCACTCTTTGAACAATAAAATATAGTTAATTAACTATTGCGAAAACAATCATTACCTACTCAGAAAGTTTTCTTTTATACAACCTAACATTATGGTAGGCAATCTATTATTGCTATAATTTCATTTTAGTTAATACAATTTGACGTTAGATCGAGAAATTATAACGTGTGATCAAAAAAAGACTTTTACATACGTTAATTTATTTTCCTTTTTAATAAAAGTTTTTCAACATAATATTATAAAATAAAATAAAATAATAGAATATAGCCTATATACATAAAAAAAATTCACAAATTAAAACAAAATTAGGACAACAACAATTATTAAGTTACAATGCTATAACAGTGTTATAAAGAAAATTTTGGTATAAAGCACCGTTGTAAGTATAAATTTATGTTTTCTTTTTAACTAAAAATATAATATTATATTTGAGTTATATAATAATGTAAAATCTAGAAAAAATAAAGGACAATAACATTATTCTTATTTCTTATTTTTTTTTTTAAATCTATTATTGTGTATTGTATATATATATTATATATACAGGTATATTATGTTTGTATTATACTTTTGTCATCAAATATATAATATATACATACAATATGATAATAGGCGAGTGTATCTGTGAAATTACTTTAAGTATTACGTTAAGTTAAATCGCAATAATAAAACGTTTTTAACAATCAATAAACCTCGTGTTCGTGTACGATGGTTTTGTCGTAGGAATATAAAACAGAAATGTGTAGGTAGACATCTTTAACCTAATATCCCTGTTAGTTAATGTTTAACTTAAAATTGTGATAAAAATAAAAGTTGATAACCTTACACAATAAAACGAACTTGGTGTATAATATTATTATCACATCGAACTACGTCTGTCGTATTATTTTCATAAAAATTAATAAAAATAATTCAACATTATTCTGATAATACATATTTTACACACAGATAATAATATTATTATAGCGACTATTGTAGAATGTTGTAAATTTGTTGTTATTCTTAAACAATAATATTATTATTACTATTAGTTATTAGTAATAACACAGAAGCCATACGAACAGAAGAAATATTTCGCGTCGTCACTACCCTTCAGCATCTGCGCACATTTTACATAACAACATTAACCTATTATTAGAATTTTATAATAATTATTATATTACATAAAATATGATAACTCTATTTCTACACACTAAAAATTGTATAGTAGTTATTTTAGACATAATATTATTATAATATGATATTAACTTCTTACTACTAAATGTTTTAATACTTTTTTTTAATATTACGCAACGAAAATAAACAATATATAATCGTTTAAAACATGTTATATCAATAAACGGGCAAACAACATATTAACGCACTTTGTTATAATAATTTACAAAAAAAAAAAAAAAATGTAAACAAGGAAACAAACGGACCTCCTCTTTGACGTACATCGCCCCCCAAAACCTGCCACTACACATTACGGTAGCCGGCTAAATTTGGGGTGAAATAAATAAATATATATATTATGCGTAATATGTACATCATTTTCGATTTCCATCTATCTCGTTTGTTCGATTGTTTCGTTGAGGTTAGGAGGGAGACGAATATTACGATAGTCGTCATCTCGCCCTACGCCGTCCGACGACACGTTCTGCAAATGTGACACGTTATGACCAGCCACCGGTCAGTTTGTGGAACAGCTCCTCGTTCAGGGTTTGGTTCACCTCTTTGGAGCGCATCGACAAGAATATATAACCGCCGATGAATTCGTGTATCACCTTGCAGTCAGCTGACTGGCAGGCGAATATTATGTTGCCCTCTTCGAACTGCACCATCATGTGTTTGACTTCCCAGTTGATGTTCCACGCCTGGACAGGACAAAAACAAACGTGAGAACGAATTGTGATTTGGTGGGGGTGGGGGTGGGACTGTGGCAGAGATAAATAAAGCTGGAGTTGGATTCACAACTGTAGCTATTAGGTACGCGACGTGTCGTGTCTTGTCGATCAAATCGTATTGCGATTGGGCATTAGTCTTTAGGTATCATATTGTATAGTAACCAAGTTGCCATCGAGTTTACCAAGAATCCTACTTCTAAACAAATATAGTTACCAGTTGTAACCATAGTTACCACACCGTCGCACGACATGGTACTGCACGACGTAGCAGCTGTGAATCCGGCTTTATTCGTATAACTTACCTTCATGGTGTTATATCTCCATGTTTTTATGTGATCGCCGGTCGCGATGTCCATGCGCATCAAACGATTGTACGCTATGCCCAGCAGCTCTTCTTTCTTGTGGCCCATGAACTTGACGACGAACAGTGAGATGCCGAACTCGGGCAACGACTGCCACGCTTTGATGTAGTTCATCTTGGCCTCCATCAAAGTCAGTTCCTTGAGGTTGGCGTGTGCTTCGAGTATGCGCTGGACCAGCTGCACGAAACAACCGATTTATTATTATTATATTACATTATATTATATTATATTATTATATTTATTATTGTATAATGTCGATAATAATTGTTAAGTCAGTTGTAAAGAAGATACTATATTTTTATAATTTTCCTCCTGCGTCACATAATACTTTAGTGATCACTAAACTTTCAAATTTTTAAATAATAACTAAACGTTATGTTAAAAGTATATCCTACTTTGCCTTCTAATTACACACTACAATAATTTAGTGGTTTATGAAAAAATACATTTCAGCGATTACACGTTTTAACAAAATTGTCAGAACAAAGAATACATTTTATTCATTTTTTCGTATTTAAAATTTTCGTATCAATACAAATAAATTTAAAAAAAAATTAATTAATTAGTTTCAACTACAATATAATAATATACAATTTTTAACTCAAAGTATTGTTTTTCAATATAACTGGAGGAAGCTAAGTTATTTCACTTTCACTCAGTAGTTAAGCTTAAAGTTGAACATAAAAGTAACTAAATAGTCGAAAAAAAAAATGTTTTTAATTAGTTAATGCCCATCTTGTAGAGTATGGGTTATGGGTAGGTATTTTTATGACCAAGTCGGGGGTGACCAGCATGACTGTAGTGCTAACCTTTCCCTTGAGTTTTCTGGAAAACCTGTGCGGTATATAGTCCTCGACCGATATGTCCAACATCGACGGGCTAATGATGGGTGACTGGATGATCGATGGATGTTGCATCTCGAGGAAAGCTTTGATCGATTTGACCTCGGATTCGTAAGAATGATCGGACAACGGCCGTCCTTTGGCTGCCAGTCTACAAGCAGCCATCCATCTGGCGTACTGCTCTTCCTATATAATATGTGCGTTGAAGGGTTAACAAAGTTCAGTTATAATTGCTATGTCATATGCAGACTATTTAATTCGGTAGCATCTAAACACTTACGCTCTCGCATCGAATACACATTTCGGTCATGCCATCTGAACTGGGCACTTCCAGCTTTATACCGAATTTATTCTGTGAAATATTCACGTCCGGTGTCACCTCACATCCCTTGAGACTGACACTGTGCACGGGCAGTGCGCCGACTTCTGCGTCTTCCGCCGTTTTGTACATTCTCAAATGCAAATCTCGGCATGTAAACCAATACCGTTTAAACGCTTTCAGCGTGAATTTTTTTGGCCTATACAGGAAGTTACCATAATTACAATAACACCGATACACTGTATTTTATATCAAACCATTCGAAAATTACTCACTTCAAAAATCTCAAGTAATCAGACAACTCTGGCGCATGAGCCAAATTGTTGACATTGCTCTGTGGCTGAAACCCTTCAAGCGTAATTTGAAGATCTGACAGAGCAGCATCGATATCATCATCTCCACCTGTTGTCTCCAAAAGCGGTTGTGGTACACTAGCTTTTAGATTTATTTGAACCTAAAAATCCAAAAATGTCAATAGATTTATATAAGTGTCTAATGAAAAGTCATAAAAAGCACTAAAAGGTATTTCAACTTAAAAACAACGAGCTTAACTACATAGTACACAGTTTGTGTATTTATAAACATTGTATATATATATTAAGTTTTATATGATTATGACGTACTTGTAGCGCGGCAAACATTAAAGCTTCCTCTTCGGTACAATCGATTTCACCGCTCAACAAACTCCATTTGGCTTGTTCGTATATTTGGTTTATACGAATAGAATCTAGCCTGGGATTCAAATCATAGAAAGAATAAAATTTGAACCGCAATTTCAATAAGTCATATTCCCTGACGCCTTGTTCCATTATCGACAGCGACGAATCCAACCACCTGTGTATAAAAGTACCGAACTTTTAAGTTGCCATCGATGTTGCTATAATGTTATAAGTTAAAGAAAAACTACTTACGCCACGTTCATTCTGGCTTTTTCGACCAGCGATTTTGGTTTCAAGACCTTGCTTCGCACCTCTTGATTCAGCGAAAGTGGGCTATTGGCCAAAGACGTATCGAGGGACCCGTTCAACATTTCCAGTGACGTTACGTTGCCGTTCATTTCCGGTTTGCTGTATCCTTTCTTCCAGGTGCCATTTTGCTGTGGAACGAATTTAAAATAAAAAACACATAAAATACATACACTAATTTAATAATATCAGTTGGTTTATAAAGCTCGTTTATTGATCGACGGCTCAAAACGGTAAAGTTACTCACAGACGAAGGCGAACTGATCGGCGTAGAGTGGTGTTTCAGTGGAGCGCATATGAACGGCGAAGACGTCATGTCCAGACTTCCGGTGGAGCCGGACGGGCTGTGGCTGTTGACAGCGAACGAGTTGGTGTCGGCCGATGGCGTTTGACCGCCGTTGTATTGCATTTCCTTCATGTTGTGCTTCAGGTGATACGCTTCCAGGGGCTTGCTCAGAGACAATTCTTCTGGGTGTCTGATATCTGCAGATCGCGGGTGAAAAATACGTAAATGAAAATTATCCCTCAGCGTCAAATATAATATTATACAGTTATAATCATCGTCGATATACTTACTTAGCTCTTTGCATATCTGTATGACGGCGTTGAATGTTTTTATTGAGAAGTCCACGCGCATGTCCACGTACCGGAGGTCGGGCAGCTGGATGCGTGCAGTTTTGTGCATTCTGGTGAATTGCAGCTTAGCGTCAGCTTGCACTCCGTACTGATCCAGCGTCGATCGGGTCCTGGTGAGCCACGAGTTACGGTTTGGCCACCAGAGAGCGTGATCCGACCAGTCCATGGCTATATCTGTAGGGGACAAAAAAAATTTCGAAATCAGTATTATTATTATAGTTTTATACAACTTGTTAGTAAGTTGGCCTACAAAATACTGTATTTGTGTTTGTTTTTTTTGCGTCTATCGCGTTTATTGGTAAACGATTTTCATTAAAACAATATGTTATAGGTATGTAATCAGTTGGCCCCCCGGTTCCAGTATCTGGTTTTGTAATTATGTTATATATGTACGATGTACCTATCAACGTTTACTGCAGCAGTTATTCGCTAATTGCGAACATGATATAATGTTGTATATTGGTATATCATAAAGAATAAAATCCAAACTAATAAACAGGTAAACTCTTATGTACATAAATATAGCACTTGATACTGTAAAAGCACATACGTTGTTGTTTGTGTGTACAGAAACTACGAAATACGTTATATTTTTTTGTTTTATAGATTTCAGGTTCAGTTGTATTACATACATTGCACAGTTTAAGAATCATCAAACCAAACGAACACAATTAATATTTTGTAAACAATGAGGTACCTAATAAAATAGATTCATGGCTGTAGTAATAATATTTCATTTGGATATTTTAATATTAATTAATTTGCTTACGCGCACTTCAATAATCAATAAACTTATTTAAAAACAAATTAATCAACGATTATAATTGTATGTTTAAAACAATGATAGATAATAATCGTCATAACGTACATTCCTCATATGCACCGAGGTCATCATTTTTACGATAGGTGAGAATCCAACATATTTTTATTTTTGTGCTTAACGACCCACGTAAAACATTTATGAGTAATAAGCCGTTGGTCTTCTCGTCTGAATTTATCATACGTTGATTGTGTACAACTGTCATCAACAGACTAACATTCCGAGCAATACTCATTAAATGTATTTCATCTTCGAGGAATGTACAACAAGTATGTACGCGTTAGATTCTTCCTGGGTCGAGTACCTGTACTCCGTTTTTCAGTTAAACGTAATTTAACGAAACTTGAAAAAAATAAGAATTTATATAGGTATTTTTTATTTCTACTCGGAACATTCATTTGCAGGTCGAACCGGAAAGATAACCAATTCTTGTACTTTTTTTTTCACTTTTATTCGGAACTCGACCGAAACATTTTTTACAACAGCTCTTTGAGAATATAGATAGGTACTCGAGACGCCTCGACGTATAATAAAAATAATAGGTTTATAATATCAGTGTCTACATTATATAAATGACACGATAACCTAATTAGACGCACATCGCGTATAGAACGGTCGCGTCGACTTTCAAACAGATAAACGGAATAATAAATAGGGCAGGTCATGCGTTTTTACTTTTTAGCATACAATCAACGATAGCGAACGGCATCGAACTCGTTGATAACATTTTTTCGAGTTTAGTTATTATAGGTATATGGGACTGCGGAGGGGGGTCGTTCTAAAATTGTAATAATTAGTCTCGATTAAAACGCAGCTCGTTACACGACGTGACGTCACAGCGAGAGGAAAAATTTAATTTTCGAGCACCGGTAACTCGAGAGGACGACCGCGGAATTGTTGTATGGTATACTAATATTGTGTACGGTTGATTTGTGTGCTGCGAATATTCTCAGAGACTGCGGTTCAAAATATGTCAAGACGTCGTCGGTCGCAACGCGAGACAATATGCGGTTTTGCGGTCTATTGTATATCATTGCAGACTGAAATAATGGCGAATAATAATATTGTTATTTAGGCAGGTTTAGGTACAGCCGCGAAATGTTTTTGTGTTTTTTTTTCTTTGTCGGGGGGGGGTATATTGTGTCATCCGCAAAAAAATCAGCGCTTCGTGAAAGCCGCTGCAGACTGTGACCCGCCGCGATGGGGATGCGATCTCTACGTGTATACAGGGTGACGTGCGGCGGCGGCTGTCCATCTCGCGGTGCATAAATAATATTTAATAATTTTAATATGACACGTCGTCTCTAGTAGTAATAATAATAATAATAATAATAATAATAATACAATATAAGACGTCATCCTCATTACGTCTCGGCCAGAAATAATAACACCGTGTGTAAGCACGGCGCAGGTACGCATTTCGCTTTGGAGATATATAGGTAATAGGTATATAATATAATAATATTATGAAGAAAAAAAAACCTGCCGCGTGACACGGAATAAAATACGTCTTTGGTCCGGCAAGGTTATAATAATAATATTATTATATACGCCTTATAACAATTTACACACACATGGTCGCGCGAGGCTGCTGCCGTTGCCGCCGATTTTACCGTAAGCAAACGCCATGTATGGAAACTGAATTCTTCGTCCACCGACCGCTCAGCAACCGTCGCCGCCGCCGCCACCGAGGCAGCCGCGACTGTTGCTCCGCCGGACTTTCTCCGCTTTTCGTCGAGGTTTCGCACGCGTCTTCTCGCAGCCTGCGTCTCGTATATTGCCTATATTATATTATAATGCGTCGAATATTCGCCGGCAAAATAGAGAACGCTAAAAAAAACGCCAGACGACGATGTCGTATTACATGTAGGTACCCATATCCTCGACGACCATTGTACAGGCTACTCTACGTAGTCGTGTGACGCTGTACTGCAGTACGATACACGCCGAGGTGTATATTATTGGGCGAGATGGCGAGAATGATATATTATGTTGACCGTGACGAGTTGTTAATCGAATTCGAATTCGCCTTCGGTTTTCAAAGCTATAACGAAGTCTGGACGAGTTAAAAACAAAAACGTGCCATTCAACTCGAGCCCGACCTGCATTTTTCAAATGCCCACTAAACCGACACGCGAGAGCAAAACTGTTGGAGAAGCCAGCAGCAAAGTGTCCATCGGTGGGATATTGCGGTATATAGTGATGATCGGCCGCGCCGTCGTGTTATCATTATACGCTTTGGCAACTCGGACATAAGTCGAGTCATCAGTCGATCCCCCTTTGTTAGAACTCGTCATTAGTAAATACAGTCGCATGCGTATTTCAGATTTACCTATATGTGTGCGAAATCGCATATTTTCAATAGTGTCTTGTCTTATCGTATAACATAATGTTATGGTTTAACGTGTAGGAATTTATATTTTGTGAACGATTATGTGGTACAGCAGATGTGCTCGAGATTTGTGTTGGCGTGAGTTGGTCGACCTGAAGGCGAGACCTGTGACGTTTTGCAATATATAACCGCATGTTTAAATCATACTGTTGGCGACTTAGGCCCGCATTTCGGCTTGTCGCCACCAAATCTTTGGGATAATTCCTATATTGTACGTGATCGCTGCGGCGGTATCGGTGAATGGATGTTTCCCGGCGGACGTAATTCCCGAATAATAATAACAATAATTTATAAAATGGTTTTTTTTCTTCTTCTGCCATCCGAGGACTCGGACGTGTTATAATAATCGTCATCGACGTGCGAGAGAGCGCGATCCGCGGCCAATGAGAAAGCTGCCCGGAGACCGGCCTTATATGGGAGTCAATCCGGCGGTTTGGCCGCCGCGTCGTCCTTGCCGGCGTACTATTATTTAATACCACATTATATATGATTTTTTTTATTTTATTAAATTATAAAAGGAAAAAACCCAACAGATATCGCGTCGTCCTCTCGCAGCCTTGTAGTGCGCAGCTCTATATAATACTCTTTTATAAACTCGCAAACGTATAGACAAGAATATACAATGTGCATAGAGGCACGCGATACATATTGTACACACGCGTGCCGCCACACAATTGCGAAACGCGTTTCTTGAATATACGGCGTGCGAGGTTAGGAGGAGTTTTCAAGACGCGTTCGGCGGACCTATCCGTCATGTACCTAGGTATACGCAATACGGTATATTATTATACCAATCGGACGACGATCGATGGTCACGAGGCGCGTTGTGTCGCATGCACGCCGCTTCGGCGAAAAAGTGCACAGCGGTGACACAGTCGAGTACAACATAATAATATGTAGAGGTATAGCATAATGGTACGCGTAGTAATAACGACGATATAATTGGCCGGCCTTGGACGAATTATTCGATCGGCGATTTACGACCGGAATCGAATTCGTCATTTCGCGCCATTGGCTTACTAATGTAAATAAGTACACGGTGGTGCGGATCGACCAACCCACCCCATCGCGCTGTATGCGATTGATTCGGCCGCGGCGTCTGCATTATGTACGCGACATTATATTTTATTCTCATACAGGGTGTTCCGCATTAAGGGTACGATGTCCTGCGGGTTGTTCGATATCAGGTCATGATATTACCGAACAAGGCATATTATTACACTTGCAAAATCGGAGAGGCTGTATATCAATCAAAACTGCCGCAGTGTAGCTCGGATATGAGGTCGTGACGATAATCAAACTCGTCAAAGGACGACCTGGCCTATACACAGCACGTCTGCAGGATTGTAAAACCAAACAGACCGCCCGAAATCACTGGAACTTTGGATTGTTTCTCTCGGGGTGTCCTTCAAAATATAGAGTGGTCGCGGCGGCGGAGAGTTGGAAAAACAATAGTCACGGTGACTATAAAACCTGCAGCAGCAACCCTCAAATACTGCGGAGTTGTGGGGATTTTTTTTTTTTTGGAAACCCGCAGGACATTAAGGAACACCCTGTATATATTTATTGTACTGCTGTGAACCGTTCCGACGGAAACTGCCGCGGACACGACCGCGACGAGGGACTGCCACCGTATAATGTTTATGAGATATACGACGATCGTCAGACGGATTTCGCGGCGAGGGACGCAGCAGTATAAATAAACATCGCGACTCGCCCGGCTGCAGTGATTCGTCGTACTTGTCTGAAATAAATGAATAGGAACAGAAGTATAAAGGTCCGGAAAAGGGATGAAAACGTGTGGAGCCGGGGGGGGGGGAGGAGACGCGATATAGACTATATATATAATAAAGAGTAGAACGCGTCCGTATACGCGTTCAACTCCGTTATGTACATAGACGTGTGTGTGTGTATATATATATATATATTCCAAGCCGTTATATAATACATAAGCGAAACGAT